AAATGAGGAGACGGTACAATAAATCTTTTTCAGGATACAATTATAGCTCATATTAAAGGGACTCCACTGAGAGTTTTTAACATGATGGTACTGAAAATATTTATTCCAGATAAATACACCATTTGATGTAGGTTTAGACCACTAGACATTTTTGTGCAAAGTTTCAAATCATTCGCGCTCTTCGGTTTTCCAGAATAATTATTCAAATGGTAAAAAAATGACCCAAAATGAAAAGCTTTTAAATGCTTTTCACTCAATTCAGGCTAAGAAAAGCATAAAATACGATGTTCGATTTATTTCAAAGTATATTTCTTAACTATCTTTGCATATATTTCTGTTTAAAGTGCCCCAGCTCGTTCATGTAAGAAATTCAAATGTTATAGGCTTTTAAACCTCGGTGGAGTCCCTTTAAAGCTCCATGCCTCCCAGATGAGCCAAATTGTTTTAAGAAAATTAAATAGGAGAAAGATGTGCTAAGATTTTAAGAAAAGTAAAAGATGTAAGATTCAAGTAATAATTTACATGTCATGTGACATTTAGGATTGATTTTGAAGTATTTACAACTAAATTTCTAATGCGTTACTAACGCAGAAAGTGTTTTGCGCATTTTGACCAATTTTTTTTGGAGGTGGTGGATTACCAGTGCTATTGCAATGTTTAAATTATTTTCTTTGTTCACTTCAAGATGTTTTACTTTTAAACACAATTCAAATTTTTCATGGAAATTAGAATGAATCTGGAGGCGTGCTTCTTTAAACGCGTACATGTACCAAACCGAAAAAAAACGCGCGTTTCTTGTATACGCCTAAGAATTAAATATGAAAGCAAGTTGACACGTAAATTTCTGCTTGCAAATTGCATGACTTTAATTGATGTAAAATTCACAAAGTCAGAAGCAGTTGTCACCGTTATGGATCCGTTACAAGTGATTGACACCATAAAACCAGCTTAAATTTGAATGTTCTTTAAGGTATTTGTAAACCATTCATAAAATTCATAAACACATTCTTTACAATTTTGATCACACAATCACACAAGGAGCATCAATGAAAATAAATCAACGACGGAGATCACTATAATTCCCGGTACGATTTGATTTTACGAACCTTTAATCATGTAAGACTTTGAGACGTTGTAACAAATCACATTTATTTTCCGTAGTCAGACAAGGCGTTTAAATGCGTAAGAAATATTCCTTTAGAGTCTGAACAAGCGTTTAATGACGCGCGTGTGTTTTTGTGGAATAAAACGTAACAAATCATTCAAAAATAACTTCAGACATCATTTTTTATCGATTAACTTATGCCACATTATTTTTCTTCTAAGTGCAAGGCACTTTTAAAAACCATATATCGAGGTATTTAAATAAAAAAATAAAAATATCTTATTAAAAAAGTGAATTTTACATGTTTATTGTGTGTTGAATAATTACGACTGAGTAATAAGGACAATCTGATTTTAAATAATAATAATAATAATAATAATAATAATAATAATAATAATAATAATAATAATAATAATAATAATAATTGATGATGATGATAATAATAATGATGATGATGATGATGATAATAATAATAATAATTATAATAATAATGATAATAATAATAATAATAATAATAATAATAATAATAATAAACACATTTTAATAATAAAATATTAATAATAATAACAACAACAACCACAACAAACAAACAAAACAACTTTATTTACAATAGGTTACAAGGTTAGAAACCTATGAGTTTCATGGTTTTAATACATTCATTTTAGAAATGAATATTATACATTATGGTAATAATATAATATAAAATAATATATCATTGTGTAAGTAATATGAATGATGTATCAAGATCTCTAGTTTTGTTTGAATTATCACAATACATTGTTACATAGGCCATAAATATCGACTGACCAGTAATCGCGACATTGAGTACGAAGGTACTAAAAATCCGGTAACTCATTTTTTTTATTGTTTTATATCATAAATTTAATGCTCATATGAAGATTTATCAATATTGTAAGTTCAAAAAACGCATTATTTGTAAAGATATTGCCGAATTTACATTTCATGGTAATAAAGAGAGGTAATTAGAAATTTATTTTCTATAAAGTTCTAATCAAATTTTTCAATAAGAATTAAATGCATATATTTTAATGATTACATATAATGTGAACAAATATTTGCAGTACATATTTTACAATTATTTCGATGTTTTAAAATTGTGATACAAGCTTATTTGTATACATAAATAAAATTTCACTTAAGTGTGGTTACAACAGCGAGCGACCAATATCACTAACCCACAACTAACCAACCAAAGGTATTGGAAATTTCAGACGCGGTTTGATTGAGTCTGTTCATGACATTTAAGGTAATGTGCATTATTTCTCACCCTCCCACCCCTAGCACCGACTTAAAGCACATTCCACTCTTTAACACACTAACATACTGGATCCAATAAAACTACGGGTGGACGGTTAGAAAAAATGGCGACGTGATAACCGTATTAAACGTTAACCGATCAAACTAATAAAATCCTTGGATTTTCAATATTAACTTTGTTTCTATACGGCAAGATAATTATGACATTTTGTTCGTGTTTTGTTTTACTCAAAATGATTACAATTCATATCCGAATATGGAGTAACTATTTCCGCTAGGGTCGAACCGAATTCGATCAGATCGGAAAAAAATTACATTCTTGAGTACAACTGAAATTCAAACAATTGTCATATCTTGTTATGAAAAAAACTAAGGTAATATGTAGAATAATCTCTGTAAGTTTTGCTAGACAGTGGTAATTTATTTAACATTAGGTTAAGTTGAATGTCCTTTTGTTCTGATGTTCATTTTAATTGATGATATACAATTTTGTGTATACCTTCTCCACTTACACATGTTATGTATATGCTTTACACTGTCTTGTCATGTATCATGTATCTGTTTATCCTCATGGACCATTTGGTCCAATGGAATATTTATAGAATAAACTTATCAAACTTATTTCATGATTTGAAAACACTTTCAGTTAAATCTATAATATTTTTTACCTAATACATTGAGAAAACCTTCATTTGTTAAATTTTGAATATCTAAATTGCTTTCATCGGCTTTATTTTCATCGGTTCTGTTTAGAATATCTTCATCGGTTTCATTTAGTATAACTTCATCAGTTCACTTTAAATTAACTTCATCGGTTAAAGATCCTGTATGTTGTGATCAAAGTGGTATTCCACGCCAAGTGAAATTATATATATACATGTATATATATATATGTACATGATTATGCAAATAAAACAATTTTCAAACAAGAATATGTAAAATATGTACTGCAAATATTATATGTAATCATTAAAATATATGCATTCATTTCTTGTTGTAAAATTTGACTTAAACTTTATAAAAAATAAAGTTTTTATAACCTCCCTTTATTTACATGAAACGTTAAATTCGGTTATATCTTTATAAATAATGCTTTTTGGAACCTACAATACTGATTAATCTTAATTTGAGCATCATATTAATGATTTAAAACCATAAAAAAATTGTGTTACAGGATCTGTAAATTTATTATATTTTATAGGTTTCATTTTGAAGAAATGAAACTGATAAATAAACAGTAACTTCACCAGTTAGTTTTCTTTATATTTTACCGGTTTCATTTAGAATAACTTCATGGGTTAAATTAAGAATATCTTCGGTCTTTTTAAAATATTGTATCAGTTCCATCTATAATAATTTCATCGGTTTAGTTAATTATATTTTATCGGTTTCATTTCGAATATTTTCATCGGTTGCATTAAAAATAACTTGGTCGGTTTAATTAATGAAATTTCATCGGTTTCGTTTAGAATACCTTCATCAGTAACATTAAGAATATCTTCATCGGTTAGATTTATCATATCTTTTTCGGTTTCATTTGAAATATCTTCATCAGTTATATTTAAAATAACTTCATTTGTAAAATTCAAATTAACCTCATTGGTTAAATTAATTATATTTCATCGGGTTCATTTAGGTTAAATGTATATTTACTTCATCAGTTAAATTTATTATATTTGACTGGTTTCATTTAGAATATATTCATCGGTTATTTAAAATGAGAATATTTTCATCGGTTACATTTTAAACATTTTCATCATCATTGCATTTAGAATATTAATTATATTTTATCGATTTCATCGGTTACATTTAGTATTTTATAACTTCATTGAATTTATAACATTTTTAGAATAACCTTATCAGTTACATTTAGAATAACCTTATCAGTTACATTTAGAATAACCTTATCAGTTACATTTAGAATGACTTTATCAGTTACATTTAGAATAACTTTATCAGTTACATATAGAATAACTAAAATGGTATCCGGCTGCCTTAATCGTAATGTTTTTCCCCAGCAATTTAATATAAGAAAAATACCAGTAAACTTAAGTGGACATACTAATGTTAAGGTAATAGAATGAGTGTAAATTAAAATAAAACAAAAAGAAAAAAAGCACACACAATAGCAACGAATACATTAACACTTGAATGATTAAAAAGGGACATATCGCATCTCTATGTACTTTTATAGATGTCATAAAAATTGAATTATTGACGTAACGTAGTATCTTGTTAATATTAAGACGAATCGTGTAAAAATTGTATCGATACATCATAGGTTTATTTAATTATTATTAATTGAGCCGCGTCACGACAAAACCAACATAATGGGTTTGCGACCAGCATGGATCCAGATCAGCCTGCGCATCCGCGCAGTCTGATCAGGATCCATGCTGTTCGATTGCAAAACCTATAACAAGTAAAGAAACTGATAGCAAACAGCATGGATCCTGATCAGACTGCGCGGATGCGCAGGTTGGTCTGGATCCATGCTGGTCGCAAACCCATTATGTTGGTTTTGTCGTGACACGGCTCAATTGTACATACTCGCCTCACACAAGAGAACAATACTGTAATGATTCGACTTCAATTTCATTGTCTAACAGCGTACAGATGTGTGCATTTGTGTCACTCATTGTCAATGACAACGGTTCGGTTTTAAAATTTATTTTAATTTGTATGATGTTGCGCTCGGGGTTGGAATAAAAAAAGGGAAACGTTGTACGTTTTGTTAGATACGTCGGGAAAAAAAATCGAGAGAAATAAAATTGGCGCGTTAATCTAACACTTTCGAGGATTTATTTATTTCATAAAACGTGTTACAGTCGTTTTTTTTGTGTGTTCGTAAAAGTTATCTTTTTAGTATGTGAATGGATACAAGTTGAACAAGTTTTACAATTGAAGAAAAAAAGAAAGTGTTTGAAGATAAAAATTATAATTTTGAAGTTAAAAATTAAGTTTAGCAAAGATCATTATGTGAACTTAATTTGGAGTATATGTCTGGAATATATTGGAGACTTTTTGTAAGCTATTTGATGTTAATAAAAAATATATCATTTTTACATTTAATTGTATGGGTAACAAACGAGGCTATATGTATATAAATTCCATTTACACCAAAGAAAAGAGAGAAAGAAAAAAAGGAATATAATATATAATGTTTGTACGGTAATTAGGACAGTAGGTCAGTGTGAGAATATATTTATTATTACAAGGTCATTATTCTTTTTGCTTTTGATGAAGTATGTGCTTTTAGGTAGCAAATAATTAATAATTAATTTTCATCACTAACGGCGCACTTTTGAAAAGTTGACTGAGTAAAATGTAATAAAAAACTAAAACGAAAACATTACCATATATTTATATATATATATTTATATATATATATATTTGCATTTCATATCATAGACACGAATTAAGTGGTTAACACGTCACAAGTGGAAAAAAGGGATGGCCATGTCAAATACTGTAACAGTTGTCAAAAAAGCGGAATTTTCGACGCGTGCTATTGGATTGTGAACTGTTATATAACATGTGGACAAAACTTACGTGATTTATTTCAACCGATAAATTGTTTTCAGATTAAACCGCTACTGACATGTTTTATTCAGGATATAAGAGCTGGATGGTATTTTATGAGTTCTGTTTCATCACGATTTGCTGATTTGATAAATTCAAGCTTTATCATGACTACATAGCGATGTTTTTCCCAATTTCATGACTTTGAAAAGTACGGATACAGAAAAAAAATGCCGCATTAATGACTTGCGGAAGTTCTTCCTCATTCAAAAAGCAACTATATATACATATAAGCATATTCATTCGAAAGGAACGGGAAAAAAGAGCGTTGAGCACGTCTGAAGATGTAACGAAGAGTACAATTGGCACTTTGTTACAATTATCAAGTGATTAACACGAATTGAAAGTAAATTTCTATTATCAAAAGAACGTATACTGTAAGATATGAAAGCGTTCGAGTGTTTACAAAAATTTGAGATGTTTTGTTTAAGAAAACGAATTTGAGGATATTTACATACACTGTTTTCGGATATGTTAATTCTGGACAGATGATTTGTGTTAACGGATACAGGTCAGTTTTGACTATAGTCTACATATTAATATCAATTTGCACACGAGATCGTGAAGTAGACTGTCGAGCGATAATGGTGGAGCCGCCCCACAGATCAAGCTTGTGGAGATTCAACTACAACACCACCGTGAATCTGCGAGACGACAGCCTTAACTGCGGCGGGTATGATGTAAGTTCTTTTGTAGTTGCTTATTTCATATTCTGTAATGTTTAACTTTTCTTTATTTCATTTACTATACCATTGATGTGTCGTTAAAGTCTTCATGTATGATATAATTATACACATTCAACTTTACGACACATTGTGAAATTATGAGTCACGTGTGTTGTATAGAATTAATAATTTTACGAAACCATCATAGAAGTAGATTTTATATATTAAAAATATATTTTTTGTCAGTAAATTAATGACGAGGAGATTTTTTGAATATAAAGCGAGAAGGTGAAAATGAGTGAGTAAGTTAAAACCAACTTGACAACTGACAAATAAGAGAGTAATTGAGGAATAAGTGAGTAAATGAGGAATAAGTGAGTAAATGAGGAATAAGAGAGTAAATGAGGAATAAGTGAGTAAATGAGGAATAAGTGAGTAAATAAGGAATAAGAGAATAAATGAGGAAAATTTGAAACAAACAAATTTAGGGAAAGTTAATGAAGTGATACAGAGATAAAACTGTACATACTAAAATGCATAATTATATATTAAAAAGCAACAAAAAAACCCCAAAACACCCTTCCCCCCCCCCCCAAAAAAAAAAAACAAACAAAGCAAAAAAAACAACAAACAAACCCACACACAACAATAAGACATTTTACACCACATACCAAAAACCCCACATATTTAACATCATTCACTACTTTTTTCTAAATCATAAACCCAATATTTTTCATCAAAAACGTATTTTTTTCATCATATACTTAAATTTTTACATAATATACTTAAAATGTTACATCACATACTTCAAAAGTTATATCATATACTAAACATGTTACATCGTACACATAAAGTTTACGTCATATACTTAGATATATTTCAAATATTTGAAAAAGAGATGTATCATTATCATTATCAAGCATTGCTCTGTCATATCATATATAGTATGTTTGAAATATGTTGTCCTCATGGGCTTATTAGCCTATTGCAAATGAAATAAATAAATTCAAAATATACTTAAAATGTTACATTGCATGGATATTTCTAATCATACATCTATACAAGTTCTTCTAAATCATTTACCAAACATTTTATATCATATATCATACACCCTGCATATTTTATCATTTACCAATATTCTAAGTTATTTTCTACATGATATACGTCTTTTACTCCGCATATATTTCTTTATCATAAATTCAATTTTCTACATCATATACCTATTAATTAACATAAGTTTATGATATAAAATATTGGGTACATATATAGATATTGGGTTAATGATTATTAATTTATTCAATTATATGGTGTATGATTTAGAAAAAAAATGGCGAAAATGTAGTATAGTTGGTATGTGGTGTAAATCATTGTGTATATAAAGTAATATATTGGCTAAATGATGTAAAATATATGGGTAAAAGATATAGAGTATTGATTTATGATGTAAAAGGATTTATGATGAAAAAAATATTGGTTGAATGATGTAAAATATATGGGTAAAAGATATAGAGTATTGATTTATGATGTAAAAGGATTTATGATGAAAAAAATATTGGTTGAATGATGTAAAATATATGGGTAAAAGATATAGAGTATTGATTTATGATGTAAAAGGATTTACGATGTAAAATATTGGTTGAATGATGTAAAATATATGGGTAAAAGATATAGAGTATTGATTTATGATGTAAAAGGATTTACGATGTAAAATATTGGTTGAATGATGTAAAACATATGGATATATGATGTAGAATATTAGATATATGAAGAAGAATATTGAGTTATTGTTGTAGGAAATTGGGTATGTGATGTAAAATAATGTGAATATGATGTAGAAAAATTGGCTTATGATGAAGGAATATTTGGTATATGTATATTATACTGTATATGACGTTGAATATTGGGTATATGACGTTAAAATTTGAATATATAATATTATGACGTTGAGTATTGGGTTTATGATGTTGAATATTGGGTATATGACGTTAAAATTTGAATATATAATATTATGACGTTGAGTATTGGGTTTATGATGTTGAATATTGGGTATATGACGTTGAATATTGGGTATATGACGTTGAGTATTGGGTTTATGATGTTGAATATTGGGTATATGATATAGGATATTGGGTATGTGGTGTAAAATATTGGATATATGACGTACAGAATTAAATCCATGATATAAAGTTTTGATACATGATGCATAATATTGGATATATGATGTAAAATATAGAATATAATGATATAAACGATGTAATAGATTGGATAAAAATATTTTAGGTTTATGTGACTATGCAAGCACAAAATCAAACTGATTTGTGTATTATTATGTTGCACTCTCTCGTATGTTTCTCCAAATTAATACATCATTTTTCAAACATAGTGTAATGAAATACATAAAAATGTTTCTAAATCTTTAAAAAAGTAAAATGTGTGATCTTGTTTATCATACTGTATTCAAGATGCAGTTTAACGTTAACATTCTTTAACATTCTAACTACTATAGCCTTTGGACTTAAAATGGACTCTACTGACATTTTTTTCTCTTTTTTATTCAATTTGATATGGTTCTATACCTATAACTTGTCTATAAATTTTCAGATCATTTGCTCATTCGAATTTATCCAGAATAATAACTTTTATTTGGCAAAATACCTAAATATGAAAAGCGTTTGAACGCTTTGTACTCAAATATGGCCAAAATTCGCACAAAATATCAACTTATTTAATTTAAGGTATATTTCTTTAAAATCTTTTCATGCCCCAGTTGATTTTATGCAAGATTTTCAAATTTTAAATTATCTTATGCTTTTGGACCTTACTGGAGTTCCTTAAAGGATAACTGTTTTAACAAAGATATTGATCACGTGATTTCGTGGTGACATTGCACTTCTAGTGACTGTCTCAGTGAATTGACATTTTAAGATGCAACGATCTCCCTTCGGTATGTCAGGGCCACGTTTTTCTCTGACATTTTAAGTGTTTCTAATTTGGTAAAGAAATAAAAATTTGCGAAGCGATATTTCCTCGTTAAAACTTTCAATATAACAATGATGATGCAGTATAGGCAGAGTGTTTCAGTGCGGTTTAACCTTTCAGCTCGTGGTGCACGTTTAGGTCATATAGTATTTCCCCTTTTAAATCTTTATTAATTTAAAAATATGAAGTAAGGAAATTTGAGATACAATGCGTGTGTGTGTGGCGGTGTGAGATTATTATGTTTTGTTTATTACAGTTCGTTCAATGTAAGTAACCACAACTCTATGTATCACATTATCAACCAAACGCACTTCTAACCGCATATGATGAATATTTTAATATTTTTTTGTTGATTTCTTTATTTAATCAAAGCGCTTTAGGCACCGGATGTTTCTCATACACATACATGGCATTTTTGTTACTATATTAGGTTTACATAATTAAACATACACACAAAATCCGAGTTCGTAACCAATGAAAATAACATATATTTTACATACATTTATTCATACATACGAAAGCATTATTTATAGATATACATAAATTAATACATAATTCAAAATGTTTAAAACAATTTATAACCAATTCTGAGTCATGTCTTTGCATGTCTTAATATTGATACACCATGTGTTATTTAATATAAATAAATCATATTCTTTACGGAACTATTCTTTGACACGTGATAATCAAACTTGGTTCAACCAGTTAACTTGCAAAAGTCACAGTTATCTGGGGAGCAATGGCAAATTTGGATCACGCGTAAACGTTAATTTGAATATCTTAGTTAATTAGAAACATTCTTAATCTGATCTGGTGTGGAAGCACGCCAAATCTAAGTTTTATGGAAGTATTCCAAATTTAAGCTGTTAAAATTTGTGTAGTAAGAAAAAATACATCGAAGCACTCAGAACCCTTGATGTAATCTCATCTTAAAATATGATAAACAAGATCAACAAGGAAAGGCTAAGTTCATCTTTCGTTGTTTTATTCTGCCCATTTTCAGTGTTATTTTTTTTTTTTTTTTAAATTTGATTTTATGATTTACTAGTGTTTCGAATGCATGCCGCTGTATATTAAATAGAAGGAGCATCAAAACACGAGGCTATCTGATTTGTACAAGGTCGTAAGCATCGAGTATATTGACAAGTGTTTTGATGTTCGTGCCCTTTTGTATCATAGTCAAAAATAAAAACACGTTTCCTATCGTAACACTATTTAACCCAAGATAAAGAAACCAATGTGCGAGCATCTGAACAGGACTTTTTCTATCGATATCAATTTCCCTGTCGTCAAAATAAGTAAACCCAAGAAAAATGAATGACCAATCAACGAGCATGCCCTAGACAGACGGTGGACCAGCACTTCGGTAAACGCACTGTGCATTTATTGGTATAAGATTTAACTCTGACACGTTTTCGACACGTAAAGTCTCCAAATTATGATAAGATAACAGTTAAATCTACCATATAAGACTTTTGAAATAAATGTAATGACACGGGTTTGTATAACTATATTGCAATTCTGAAAAAAGTAGGTCAATTGAATTTAGAGTAGTATTCAATATCGGTTAACATTATGTTAATTTATACCATCTTTGCAGGTTACAGTCACGTGATTAACGAACTGTGTAATATTAATATTAAAAAGTGATATTTATAGAATAATAGTTGAGTTTAGGCCAGACGTGAAAATGATTGAGCGCAAATTTGATTGACAGGGTCTCGTGAAAGTTATTTGATCAATTAAAAATGCGAAGTTAACACAAAATACTGACATTTATTACAATTTTTATTTCAAACCGTACGGTATTATTTGGTAATAATACTGATGCATTAGGGTCAAACAAGATTGGATCTTGTGTTTGCCAGAATAAGTAGAGTTTATTTTGATTTTGCGGCGCACTAACTCAATGTAGGTCCTATGGCACCGAAACAGGAAATATAATTTTGGCTTTCCCTGGTGGTAAAAGGTTTAAGCAACACCTGCGGTCAAAACAACACCATCTGCTTGAGCTAAACTACTCCACTTATTCCCCA